TCACTTTCCACTGTGAAAAACCTTTCAATCGTAATAAGACGCGTGCCAAATTGCCACTTGCCTGGGCTGCTTTGATGCACAGATCTCATTCTCTTTGTTTAGGCTGCAAACTATTTGGGACAGGAACCTTGCCTTTAAACAGCTAAAATACCACGCACATTTCCAGCCCTGCATAATCAGTCTCATCTCTCCCAGGCAAATGGCCAGCACTCATACGTTTCTGCTTCCAAGCTCGGAGCGCCCCGTTTCACATACCTCTCTCCTTCACCTACATTTTATAAGTTTGCTCTTTTCTGCCTCCATAAATAAGTGTGGAAGTTATCTGTAGCACTTCAGGAGCCAACCAAGTAAGGGAGTAATTTTCTTTGCTCAGCTGGTGTTTGCACATGTCCCCAACTTTCCGTGACCCCGTTGTTGTTTGATATGCCGGTAGGGGTGGGAGTAGGGAAAAACAGGGCTAGAAATTAGCCAATTAACGATTTCTCAGCAAAATGCAACAGCCTCAGACCTACATCTTCCAAACCACAAAAGAATTTTCTTTCAAAATACTTTCCCCTCAGTCAGCAGTCTGCTCTTGCCCTCCTCCACTCCTCTGCTCCACCCCCCCTTTGTCAGACCTGCTTCTGGAAAAAGTCTCACTGTTCCAGAAAGCAATGCATTAACTCAACATGGACTTTGTTTTACTTATCTAAATATTCAGCAGAGAAAACAATTGTCCACAGTTATTGTATTTGTTCATCTGCAGACAGGAGCTCTTCAGCTTTTGTCCTTCTTTCCCCCATATTTTCTTAAAAAAACAACCACATACAAAAAAAACCAAACAGAAAACCTCATGCCAACGGACAGAAAAGAACAATGACATTTCTTCTAAACAGTTCTGTACTGCACATGCTCTTTCTTCAACCAGCAAGGGGCAATAAACATTTACTACTTTCCTTGGAGCACAGAGGAGGGGAGGAAAAAAAAAAAAAGAAAAAAAGAAGGAACAAACTAAGTCCAAAGCTGCTCTGTGCCAGTTTGATTTAGCACAGTAAAGCAGCCTTGTGCCGTGAGTGACAAACACTTCACCAGCATCAAGGACAAGCAGGGAAAAAGAGTGAAAACAACAGGAGAAGGCCTGTGGGTAATCTGTGGGTAATGAGGGGGCTGCCAAAGACGGCAGAGCAGCTCTGGTGGGATTCAGGAAAGGGTATGAGTGCACAAGCACACCAGGCAGGCTGGATTACCAGTACTGACCAAGGGCTCTTTCCACAGCTAGAAAACTGGCTGCAGAATGACCCACCCAGGCCAGGAGATGGGGTTCAATATCCAGACCAGGTCAAAACTGTGTTCAAGACCACTGGGTTACATGGCTGCCTTTGCCCTATGTCTCAGCCATCTCTCCCCATTAAGCCCCCTCTATAAGTTAGGCAAGCAGTAGGAAGACCTCTGGTTTCCAAGTTTCAACTTTAACTCTTTCATTGAATAGCTTATTTCTTGTGTTAGCAGCTACTTTTACATAATATCCTGTTCTGGCATGGGGGCTGGACTAGATGATCTTTTGAGGTCCCTTCCAAGTCCTAACATCCTGTGATTCTGTGTAATAGGCTCCTTTGGTCAAAATCCAGCCTGTATGTCACTCTGTTATTGATATGAATAACTTTAAAGTGCTTTCCTGCATTTTAACAGCTCCAGTCGTAAATGTTGGGAACAAAACCAAAGCAGCAATAATTTGTGTCAGATATCTGACATGCAAAACAGGCATGTAAACCCTCACTTTTTCCAATCAATAATAGCACAAATGATTTCTCATGAAATTAGCCTGTAAACAATGCTAAGTTCTCTTCCATGGAAAGTTCCAAATAAATGCATGTGTAAAATCTGCATTTTACCTAGTACAAGAGAACATGAACTCTTCAGCTTTCAGGTCTAACAAGTGTCAGGACTGAGGAAAACTCTAACTGTTCAAACTTCTCCTCACTCTCTGTATTATTAGAATTTCGTAATGTATAGATAGAAGTTTAGAAACTGTATCACATTTAAAAACATTTAACATTCAAAAAAACCCCCAAAACAATAAAACCCCCCGAAAGTTCTGCAGCTACATAAGAAACATAAACCAATGTAATCTCTTAGATCTGGGCACACCATGGACCAATTTAAAGAGAAAAGTTCAGCACAAATGTCATCTGTTTCTCTTTCTAGAAACAGACTACAGCTGCTCTCTTTGCAGATTTTTTTTCAGCTTTAAAAAAAGAGCACTACCATAATATTCAATAATTTGTCTTTCATGTCTCTTATTCACAGACCCAGTAACGCTGCTCCCAAATATCTAAAGTTCAGAGATGCTTAGCTTCTTCAAACTGGCTTTGGAAAAGGTAGAAATAAATAAACCATATGCTACCCCTGATAAGTCTCCCCCATTAGGCAGTCTGTAACAGGGAAGCGAACACCCATCCCTTCTGCATTCGGGCATTCATAGTGTGTTTAATAACCAACTCATTAAAAAGATCCTGGCCTTCAGAAACAATGCTTAATTCCTCCCTTAATTTCTGCTTTTCAGTGATTCTGTCATAGACCTAGTTGGTAAAAATGCTTATTAGTGGTACACAAGCGCAAACATAAAGGGAAGCACCCTTTACAGCTTACTTTTAAACTCCAGTGAACTCTCAGAGCTAACCCTTCCAAGAGCAGGGACTATCTCAAGCAGCATATCGCTGGGTGGGAAGAATTTCAGCCAAAATGTTTAATTGAATTTATTTCCAAGGAAGAGGCCAAGTGGGGGAGGGGAAGCTGTTTTGCCTGCATTGACCAATTCTGGCAACCTCCTGTTTGAGAAGCTCTAGTTCTTCTGGGCTTTGGAGCCGGGACTTGAAGGCTGGCAGGGGAGTGCGTATAGACACTTCATGTATTCTGTCATTTCAGTGCAAACCCACCCAAATTTGGCCTTGTTAGAAGTCTTTTGGGCTGGGATGCAAGAGAAAGAAGGGAGGAAAAAAATCTCTCCTGACCTCACATAAACTGTGATCTGCTAGAGAACAGCAGGATGGACACCCAGAGAGACTCATTCTTTCAACAGCTACAGTCTGGAAGGCGCGTATGTCTGTTCAGGCTACAGCTATGCCAGATGATGAAGCACCACTGTCTCTAACCTGTCCCCAAGTATTCAAATCATTTTCTTTACCTCGAATGAGCCTGCTCCTGTAAGAGCCCCCTAATCTACTATATCAGATGGAATTTAACCGCTTATTTTTAGCCAGCTTGGCTAGCTGTAGCTGAAGTTTGGTGCTTATAAAAGCAGCCATGGTGGGTGCCCCAAACCTTGAGATGCTGCAGTTTGTGCCAAGTTCAAATGCCAAGATTTAGTTTGAGATAAAGCGCGTATTCTCCAACACACAAAATTTCAGCATTGCTTAGGCTTAACAGGTAAGAAACTCTTATGGGGCAAGAAAAAGGCAGGAATGGAAAAGACACGGGGAGCCTGTTGTGGGGAAGACTGCCAAGGAAGACACTATGACACTGGTCAGAGAGCGTGTCTGGAGAAGACACACACAGATGGTGGGCATAAGAGTGCAGGAGGGAAACCCTGGGAATGCATCTTAGGTCCTTATGTTTTACCAACAGACTATGCTAAAGGACTGATCATGCAGTCTGAACATCTTATGGAGCTTTGTTTGCAATATTCTTCAAATATGGAAGGATATATTTGTTTAAACTAGTAAACAAATTGTTAAGAAAACTGATTCCCAGAAATTCTCCCTGTTACATTGCCAGGAAGTATCTGGCAGAGTTTGACAAAGCAAAATAAGTAGCTCCCAAACTCTTGGGGTACAGAAATAAACACAATTTCTTTTCCAAAGCCAGCATGTGTGCTTACGGTTTGGGGGTGGTTTTGGTGCCTTCAGGGCATATTTGGTGACTGAGAAGCAAGACTTTGTCTTGTGAGGATAGTTCCAGTTGCTGCAGGGTCAAGCTACAGTAGGAAGAACAGTCGTCTTTGTTATTTTGGTTTCCTCAATAATACTTTGAAGCAAAGGCAAAAGGTCACTGAAAAGTTGCATGTGCTTAACACACAAGTCTGCTCAGAGAACTGCCACCAAATCCAGAAGACAAATTTGCTATTTTCAAAGTACATTCTCTTCTTAGCAGGAAAAGGCACCCTTTCCTCCACTGGGAAGCTTCCCTCGTGTCTTGCATTCGGTTCCAGTCCCCCAGTAAGGCTGTCTGAAAGTTACAGAGATGCAAATGGTGCTTCCCCTCAAGCCCTTCCTTTTGAAAGTACAATGAACACCACATCTGGACAATCTTGCTAGCAAGGGAGAAGGGGACAGAAAGGCATACCTTTATTTTGGGTCAGATGATTTCTGGAGAAATGCTTGGTTTGGAAGATTACTCAGACTTCACCCAAATACAACTTCAGAACACAAGGTGTTCCTCCCACCTCACCATGCTCCCTGTCAGACCAGCAAAGCTAGAAAATACTGCTGCTACTGATGATATTTTAAACACCTAGGACTGACACCAAAAGCTCCCAAAAGTTATGAAGAAGTCTGCCTTTAGTACCAAGCCCTGCCTGGAAGGAAGAGGGGACTGAAACTGGAATGATTCTCATCTTTCCACCCCAAGCACTTTTCCAGTGCGTACATCTCTGACCATGGCTTTTTGGCATTCTTCTCATTTTAATAGCCCTGAAAGTATTACTTGTCCTTAATGAGGTAGGAAAGACTGAGTATGAATATGCCCAAAGTTAAAAGACAACAGATGTGAACTTCCCCAAGCAGCACAAGGAGTCAGACTACAGAGTTATCCTTGGCTATTAGCCTCCAGCTCTTGAGGTGCCTAAACCTGGCTTCGAGACACCCTCAAGATGTTGTGTATGAAATCCATATCTGAACTTCAGAGCTTTGGCCTCTCTCTGCCAGAGTGCCAAAGGTGCAGACCCCAGAACACAACAACAAATGCTGCAGCATGGCTTTTGATGCATCCTTGGGGACCAATGCCATAGGACGCTATTAATTCACCTCGACTCTGCTGCCTGTTGACTATCCCGCCCAGCGTCCATCGCCGGTCCAGGCGTCTCAGGTGAGCCTTGCGTCGCTTAGAAACTAGTTTGGAACACGGATGGAAACAAAAAAAAAGTAAAAGAAAAAATGATGGGAGGGTGAGGAATAAAAATAAAACACAGCATTTACCAGCACTAGTCTTGTTAGCAGTAATGGGTTAAGGGGGATGCAGACATTTTGTTTTAGTTTATATAGTACGGTGAAACAAGTTAGCTTCTTGAGCCTAAGCAACAGGAAGATATGGAACTGTCATAAATTGCCACCTTTGCCATTGGCTTTCTCTAAAAAATTCCCCAAAAGATACATAAAAGATACATGGGGGGGGTTGGACTAGATGATCTTTCCAGGTCCCTTCCAATCCCTACCATTTTGTGAAAAACACTGCAAAACAAGCTGTACAACTGAAGACAACTTGTCTAAGGAATCTGTAGTGGCAGGAGAGATCAACATCACTGCTGTTGCACGTCCTAGTAAGGCTGCATGATCCTTGGAATATTGTCTGTTGCATGTGACATCAAACCCGACAGGGCTCTAACTCTCTCTAAGCAAATTATCACACTATAAACAAAATCCAGGGGGAATAGAAAAAAAAAAAAAAAAGGCAGCTTCTCTTATGTAAGTTCACTTGTAACAGCAGCACTCAGGGAAAACACAAGGAAAAAAAATATCCAATGTCTCCTTGTTTGCAACATGCAACTCAGTCACTGCCACAGCTAATTCTCATGAGTCTAACTTCTACCACACTGATCATAAAAATAAGGAAAAACCTAAACCTTGCAAGGCTCAAGAAGCTAACAAGCAAGAAATGAGAATTAGTTACACACTGAAACAATAATTTATGCTTAAAATATAAACAAAGACAAGACACCTATGGAAATGGCACTGTGAGAGCAGCTGTGCACAGAGGACACCACATTTTCTGGATTGCATATGTCAAAATGTACTCAGTTCATTCTTCTGCTTGTGAAGGTGTGAATGACATAGGAATCAATGGACTGGCAAAGAAATACAGACAAACACTTCCCTTTTTCCTTTCAAGGTCTTCCATGCTACTTTGGCAGCTAGTGCAAGGGTGCTTGGTGCTGCCACAAAGCTATGCAAAACATTACAATTCAGCTCTTGCAAGGGTGCAGACACATTTGTTTTGCTAGTGATGCTGGGAAGCTATTCCTAAACTCTGATATCACACAATTAATAACCCCTCAATTCTGCTTATTGCACAGATTTTCAGAGGAGCTAGGTTTCAAGTTCATAGATCGTTGTGGTTTTGGCCAACAGATATCAGTGATCCTCTTGGAAGCCTATGGTGGTACAAAAGATGAGCCATCTTTACTCCTTACTGGTTGTATTTTTCTTACCAACTGGTTTAACCTGGTGGCTTTCTCCAAATTACAAACACACTGCACAAGAGGCAACACAGGACACGTCACTAAACATACAGATTAGAGCAGAGAGAGAAGCCAAAGGTAAATTCACAATAAGGCTGTCTGCATTAGAAGGCTTCTATACAAGAATGCAGGAAATTAAAGATGTTGAACTTAAAAGCTTGCAGGAAGGAGGGGTGTGGAAGGGGTTGAAATTTGCTTCATGTGCCAACACAGAGCAGTCACCCATAGGTCCCAGCTCGCATCAGGAGTCTTGAGTATTCAGCCATCCAGGAGCACCCAGTGAACACAGTGGGTCACACAGATGCCACATCATATCCTCCTCACAACACGACTGTCCTCAGTGATAGCCCTTCTATATCACAATGATGCTTTTGTTTAAGTCAGTTGGGTTTTTTTCTCCTCAACAATACCGTCTTTTGCCATTTGATCCCAGACTTGGGCTTGGTTGGTCATGCCACAGTTAGCCACCAGAAACATTATTTATCAACAAGTGTCTAAACCTTCCCAGAGACTATTTTAAGATGTTTACTTTAACAACTTCTGTGGCTGCAAAAGTTCCTTTAGATTGCTTTCTGAATGTTTTCCAAGCCTTGTAAGACTGTGTCGGTCTAAACACAGGCCCAGGTAGCAGTTAATTGTCTTCCCCCATCCTGACAAAAGATGTGCAGGCTCAGACACAGGGAGGAAACACTTTTGTCTTTCTTGGGGAACAGGCTATTTAAACAGAGACATATGGAAATATTACTGCTATGCAGAGGCAACATTATTTGTATGTTGCACTCAGCACCTTCTTATCTTTACAAGGGCCTGTCACAGCAGAGCAGAACTCTGGGTCTGCTTGGCTTGTGGGCTTGTTGCAGGCAAATGGAGAGGGCCAAGAGGCTGTTACAAAAACTCCCTATACCAGTGTTTCTGCTCTTTCAAAGCAGGCAGAGTGCAGATTGCAGAGTTGCAGGCAGTCAACATATCCAGGAGTTGCTCTGAAATTTGTATGAACTCTAAATCCAGGGGACAGGCCACTTAATCCAGTTAAAGTGCCTTCCTTCTCAGTTTTATTGGAGCCCCTTTCTCCTGCCTACTGAGAGTTGGCAAGGTTTTTATGTAAGTATGGTCACTTTCATACACTCTTCTTTAAGAGAGTGAATGCGAGTTGTTTCCTCTCTTACAGAATAACCATCAGGAGAAGAATAGCCCAAGTGAGGAGGAACTGGAGCGGGGAAAAACGAAGAAAAACCCCAGCTTATGTGTTTAATAACATAAAGTTACTGAAAAGCAAGCAAAAGCTGGGGCACATCAAAGCAGCTGCAGAGGTAATGCAATTAGATTTGTCACTGAGATGGAACTGAACAGAAAGGGAAGAATGGTCTCAGGTTTCAGCGTATCTGGATGTGGAGTAAGGCGGGAGCATGACTGCTGACCATAGCTGAGGAGACCAGTGTAATGGATTAAAGAGGACTGAGTGGAAAAAGATAAGGAACTTTTGATGGATTTTCCATTACCCAGGGAAGACCACTGTGAGGCAACAGCCCTGTGCAGAGTACACTCCAGAGAGCAACATGAAAGGCAGAGGAGAGCTTGACACGAAAGCAGTTTAAGCAATAAGGCTGTCAAGCATGCACCATATTTAAGAGTCAGGAAAAGGGAGGAAGCTACAGACCAGCAGACAAGGCATTCTTCAACTCCTTCAGACAAAAGTAGCAAGTTTTTGTTCTTTACTAACATGGATTCTTTAATAACTGCTTTTGCATCCGTTAAGATGTTGCATCACACCAGACTGGTTCCTGGCCTGCCAGTCTGTCTCTAAACCCTAAGTGACCCAGGATATGGGTAGCTTTGAGCAGGGGAAAATGAGTTACAGAGCCCAAGATTTCAATAAGCCACAGATGTCACCCGTGAGGCCCAGCACAAAGTTATGTTTTGCCTGTGCACTATCTTAATGGCCAGATGGTCACTCCGACACATCTCTAGGCCTCCTGCCTGTGTTAAGGTAAGGTCAGCTGAGTTTCCACATACGTTTTACATATGTGTCACGTCAAGAGCACGTAGAAATTTAGCAAGAGATTCATTAGAATGGAGGAAATCATACCAGAAGTGTCCTTTGCACACAGTTGCTACATGAGAAGTCCATTAAGATGTGGTTAGTCTTTCATAATGGAACAGAGGAACATGTGAGTTTGCACTGTTCCATTTCTGGAACCTGAATTAAGCATCCTTAGCCAAAAACCAGGCAGCTAAATCATATACATGACAAATGGCATCTTTGTTTTAATAGAATGAGACCACACCAAATAAAAATACCTTTCCACACAATCATAGACCACAGCAAACAGCAGTGAAACTAGTTTCAAGGATTAATTAAAAAAAATTGTAATGAGAAGCAAATTGTAATGAGAATCAACCATTAAAGTTAAATCTCACTCTTTTTAATGGCCTATGGCTCTAACAAGCATCTTTTTCCAATTAAAAGGACTCACTTGTATAATTTCTGCAAAAAAGCCACGCAAGTTCTGTCCTTCCATGGACATGAGGGTGCAGGACCTCTACCAGAACATATCATTTGGACTTGCATTTAAGTTGTTTGTACGCTTTATAAAGGTATTAAAATGAGCACCTTTACAGCTTTTGAACATTTTGTCACACTGATAACCCAAGTGGTCATAAATGGATTACAGGCATGGTACTTTAGTATTTTGTCTGCAACAATTTTTTTACTGATACTAATGGAAGAGGTTACTGCACTGGATTAACAGCTACAAGTTGCAGCACAAGTTTTCAAAGCTTTTCTGTGGGGAGAAAAGCATAAAGCAACTGAGTAACAGTTTCCTATCGACAATGAAACACTTTCCATACCTTCCCCAAGCTTGGACGTGTTGATGTCAGAGTCATCTCTGGTTCCATTTTGGGATTCCAGGTACGTAGCAGGGACCCAGCCCTGCTCTTCTGCTGTGCTCACAAACCACCAACCTACAAAAAGAAGTAAAATATGTTCTCAGTCAATACTAAGAGAGACAAGAATAGCAAGATGCTACTGAGAAGGTGGCACATAGTCAGCAGCTTCAGTGCAGGTTTGAATCATGCTGCAGCCTCCTCAAAGGAGAGGGGGTCTTAGTCCTATTACACCATTTCTACCAGATACTCTCACAGTGGTAAGTGAGTGGGCAGACAGGATTAATGTAAAAAAAGTTGCAATGGAGCAAGCATCAGTTTATTTTATAAAAAGCCTGAAGTCTATCCATAACAACTTGGGTTCAAGGTCTCCAATTCAGTTTTTCAAAGCACATCTTGCAACACGTACATCTACAGTATCAAAACACTTTGTAGGTGTGTATGTGTGAATGTATGGAAAATTGTGCAAATATTGCTTAAATCCTAATATGGGGTATTACAGAAGTCAAAAGATGGAAATAGGAAAGGCCCTCTAGTAAAAGGGCAGATTGCAGAACAGCATGCAAAATAGTAAGTGCTTAACAAACATGACCTGAATTCTGGGCCCTGGAAAGCTGAAAAGTACTGCCCACAGAACAGAAATACGAGAGAAAAGCTAACTGAAATCTGACTTCAGGCCATAAGCACCAGTTATTTACCTTCTCACTTGAACATTCCAGTTTTTACCAGTACCTAAATAAAATGTTAAGTATTCACCAACTATACAGAAATAATGGATGAATAAAATTACATGTGAGCCATCTTTAGGTTAAACGCATCCAAACCACAACCTTGCCTCTTTCTTGGCTTCACTGATTTATTGAATCCTCCACTGGTTTTGACGTAAACTCCCTCACCCAAGAGCTCGCTGCTCTCAGATCTGAGCACAACTAGATTCTGTTCCATTCAGGTAAAATCAGGGTTAAGATATAAGACAATAAAAGGCCAAGCAGGTAAACCATTTCTGCTGGTATCTACAATCTCCCAGTCTCCCCAAAAACTGCAAGTTGCTTTGTCAGAACAACACAAATTATTGTTCAACATCAGTGTTCCAGACTCCCCAAAGGCAGTTGAGAAAATAGCTATTTTTGTACATGCACCTCCAAACAGTTTACAGACTTTAATGGTTGTCATAAACCCAACAAATTCCACAGGAGACTCCCAAGCCTGCCTGGGATAAGCAAAGGCAGAGACGAGCCAGCTTAGTCTGTAAATAGACGGAGCACAAAACCCAGGTAATCTACAGTGGAGAAAAGACCTGAGTTGTGTGAAGGGTACACAGCCCTGGCCCTGGCAAGGGAAAGGGAATCTTTGCAGAGTTCCACTGCGATGCAGCTTTTCTAAAGTGAAAGAAAAAGAGAGAGAAAGAAAAGAAAAAGAGAGAGAAAGCAAAGAAAAAGAGAGAGAAAGCAAAGAAAAAGAGAGAGAAAGAAAATAAACCAGCTGAAACAATGCTCAAGTGTTCACGCTAGAAGTCACCCAAATTCGTTCCAAATCCTGTCACGGAAGACTTTAGCAGAGGACAGCAGTTACAAACCCTCGTTTTCCTCCCTGGGGCCTGTGGCTGGGAGATATGTGCCCCAAGCAACAAACCCCTCACTTGCCACCGCACAGCTGCTAGGTAGCTTAATTTATTTACCCTCAAAACTCAGACATGGCTTTCCATTTTCTGGCCCAGCAGAGGATTGGAAACTTTGCTTCACAAGGCTCATGGTTGGAAAGTTTAAATTTAGTTATTCTCCCTCAGCAGGAGGTGGATTCTCCTGCCACGAAGCCCACAGCAGCAAACACGCAGGATCTGCCAGACCGTTTCAAAAACACATCTTCATGGTTGTTCCTTATTTTACTAGTAACGTATCAACATGGGTAGCAAGCACAGTTTAACATACACTTACAATTAGGCACAAAATGTCAGAAGCTGGCTTTCAGCTGATATCAATTAGATTTGAATGGTTTATGTAAACTCTTCCTCAGAAAGAAATTCAACACAATCACACAAAACAGACTTGCCTACACTTAAAAACTCTGCTTGGGGAAAATTCAAACTATGGTAAAACTGTCTTTGGAGGGCTAGATTCACAAGCCTTGACTCTGACCCAGTGCTAGACCATTTTGCAATACAGTTCCTCTGGTTTGGCTCACTGGGCTGTACCACGGCCTCGGAGTTGAGTTTAAGGTTTTGCATTTGGGGCCACAGGGTAGCTGAGTCTCCATCTGTCTAAAACAGGGCTCCTTGCTAAAGGGTAACCCCTCATCTCCGCATCTGGGCACACATACACATGCCTCCTCCATATCACTGTGCCTCCTTGCTGCCATTCTCAGCTCCTGAAAGGCCTTGGTAGGGAAACTTCACAACTACACCGATCTTACAAACAGGCTCCCCCATACCAGTTGGAGGTAGGTTACACAGTCAAGTAATTCAAACAAATCCATATCAATGTGCAGACAGAGCATGTAACATCTAAGTGAAGTTTTAAGCTGCTTTTGATTCTGCATGCCGACACTATGATTAAAGCTCCTATCACCACAGAGCTCAGGAAAGTTATACTTTCTTTCTAAAGATTTCCTTTATGAACTATGCACAAGGATAAAGCATAAATAAGAAACCTCCATAACTAGTGAGAAATCAGCCGCATCTGTCCGGGTTCAGAGAAAACCAGCCCCTGCTCTGAAATGCTCTTCTCCCATTTCAAGCTTGCTTCTCTGAAGGACAAAAGAAAGGCTTTAATGCATCTCACTGGGATAGCGTGTCCACAGAAAAAGGGTATGTTTTACTTAAACAACTCGAACAATCCAGAAGCCTGAGAAACTTCCAGCAGCAACCCCCCACAGCAGAGAAATCAAAATCAGACCTTCAAAAGCAAGACATGCAAACTCTTAAGAGTGGCCGAGCAGACGTTGCAGAGGCAGCTCACTTCTTATGGGGCAAAAATCTGAATCTGATGGCACATCTAAGCCATAACCCCACAGAAAGGAAATTACAGCATAGTGTAAGAATTGACAAACTCCTAGAAGAAAATGGTTGAAGCACAGACAAGTTCCACAATGAAGTCAGTGCATGACATCCACAAACTGCAGAACTCTGCCCAGATGATCATGAAGTACTTGCCCTGCACCATCCCCTCCTTAGAAGCATTAGGGAAGCTGCCATTTGGTCCCACCACCCTTTCCCCCCAACTCTCAGGTACATGGGGGTTCCTGGTTTGCAGACGTTAGCCAGATTGTCCTTTGTTTGCAGAGAGCCAAGGCTATAATGGCACAAACTACCTTGTTCCCTCCTCTGCCATCTTTTCCAAACCAAAACATCACAGAAATGCTGTCAGAAAACTTGCTTTTGAAACACAGAACAAAACACTGCATTTATTTTGAGTTCTTCCTCTATGCTGGAGTTGAGCTTGACTTCACAATTCATTATTAAAACCATTCTGCAGCAACATCTGCAGGGAATTATGTAAAGTTATCTCTGTGCACTGCCAAGCCAGTCTGAGGTTCACTTTTGCACTCACACCATCTGTAAAAATTAAGCAGTGCTTTACAGCTTGACTTAACCCTTACAGATACCCCTATCTCTCAGGCATTAAAATGCAACTCTAAAGTCAATATGGCATGGATGTCTAGACTGACACTCATCAGCCCTCAACCCTGATGAGCATTCAAAAGGAGTTTAAGCTTCTCAGAAGGCACACAGGGAACTGCGGCAACTGAGCCTAGACCAAGCTCAGCTCAAGCTTTGCTGCGTTACTCCAAATCCTACCGCAATACCAATCCAAGAATGTAAATTTTTAAGGTAGGATTGTAATTCTCTCTCCACACATGTTGATCCTTCGGTTGGCATCTCTCAATATCCCTAGGTGTAATAGTCAAGATGTCTCTACATTCAAGAGTCCATCTAGGCTCTGAAACTCCCTGGCATTTTCAGCATGGAGCTAAACAGTTACTGAGAGATGAAAGGTCCCACTTGCCATGCACACATACACATGGCAAGATGATGATTGCAAAGTAGATTGATCATGCTGGAGAGTGAAAAAATGATAAAAATACTTTGATTCTAAAAATCACGTTCTTGTTTTTAATTGTATTCCCAGTCTTCTCCCCAAAAGGCTTTTTTTAAAAAGACCAAAAAACCCCAAAACTTCCAAAGCAAAATAATTGTTATCTACAACCCACACCATGGGAAACTACAAGAACATAGTTAAAGGACTACTTTTGATACAAGTTTTGCATATGTTTACATGCATCCTCTCCAAACCATGCTTCAATATAGTCCCTTCTACATCAATGTGAAAATTAACTATTCCTGTTGAAGTCTGCCTAATCATAAAATGATACAAATCACATTTTTAAAAAAAAAATGAAAAAATAAATCCAGGATTGTGCATTAATTTCTCTATAGACTTTGTCAATTTATGAGCTTTAGTAAACAAGAAGGATAGCAACACTGTAAAAGGGAATGGGAATCTCTTTTGCATGAGTGGGCTACACATTCTTCTAAACAAATACTTAAATAACACTCTACCTCTCAAGAGTCTCTCAAGTAGCATTTGACATGCATTCTTTGGGCTTCAGAGAGCTGTTCCCTTTAACGTCCTTCTGCCTTGGAACTATCTCTTGAGGGTTTTTTTTGATCTAACAACCTCAGCTGTCCTACAAAGCAGTACTAGATGCAAACAGGTCACTTCCAAACCTGACACATAGACCTTTTCATGCCAACTGGCAATTATTTTTGTTCAGAGATGTGACCTGCTTCATTAAAAAATAGCTAAGGCAAGAGTATTGCAGCGCAGATGAAGGGACTTGCTTTTTCTCTCCACTTGAGCTCTTCCCACACAGTACATGTATATTTGGTACATGTATATTTGGTAAGTACCTCAGATTCAGTTGTAATTGCCTCAGACAGATCTCCAAAGAATATGCAGAAGCACAAGTACAAAGGCATTAGGAGTAGCATTTTGCAAGACGGAATTTCTGCAGCAAGAGTACTCTCACTCCCACTTTCTATAAATGGAGTACAGTGTCCATATGCTGTTAGATACCAACGC